AGTTTTCAGCCTTTTTAAAAGCTTCACAATCTGCCTGTTTTAGGTCCTTTAATAAGCAGGAAGCTCATTTCTTCTGTGATTGTTCTCATTTTAATTTTTCCTTCCTGCTTCTTTCATGTTTTTTATCTTTAACAGGAACAATGAGCTTTTTTGTTGTTATTTCATAAAGAAATGAAGGTTTTCCTCCTGTCTCCTAGTTCCAATGACGGGTTTCACCCAGAGAGCCACCATCGACCCGGAGCTTAACGAGATCCATGTGCTCTCCGGGCTCAGCAAAGACAAGGACAAGAGGGAGGAGAACGTACGCAACTCGTTCTGGATCTACGACATAGCCCGGAACAGCTGGTAGGAGCCTCGAGCGTCTTTCAGAGATCTATCTGCTCGTAAACCACAACAACATTCGCAGGAAGTCCTTTGACTCATGCAGAGCAGCTGTCTGCAGCCCTGATCACACCACAGAGCTCAGTCTGCATGCAGCAGAACCAGGCTAACGCTGCTTCCACTTTAATGGCTCATTTAAAAAGTTTTCATTTGTTTTCTCTAACAGGCTGTTGTTGTTGTTTTTTTTCCTCCAGAGCTGCAGGAAGTATTTAGGTTTGATTTTCTGCCCGTCTTCATGCGGCTCTGTGTGTGTTCAGGTCATGCGTGTACAAGAACGATCAGGCGGTGAAGGAAAACCCCAGCAAGACGCTGCAGGAGGAGGAGCCGTGCCCACGCTTCGCACACCAGCTGGTTTACGATGAGATGCACAAGGTGGCGCTCTGACACCAAACAGCTTTAATCCGACATCTCTGATCAGTGCATTCAGGCTTATTCTACAGCTTCTTCTCTAAAAACAAAGATAAAAACTGCTAAATTTAACACATTATGACCAAAAAAAGAGAGTTTGTTCTCCTGGTAATTGACCCGATAGTCGGTCCTGGAGAGCCGCTGTCCTGCAGGTTTAGAGGTCTCCTGCTGATCAACAGGCTTTTGCTGAACTACAATCATCAGAATCAGCTGTGCTAAAGCAGGGAAACCTCTTAAAGCTGCAGGACAGCGGCCCTCAGGGACCCACTTTGGGGACGCCTGGCTTAAAATATTCCTTTAAGGATTAAACATTATTAATCCCACCAGAGGCAATTCGTCTAAGCAGCACACGAGACAGACAGATAAAAAATAACATATTAAAAAAAGATGATTAAACAGAAATGTGACGCGGAGCTTGAAGACCAACATTATTAATAATGATTTAAAAAAACAAGATTGTAAAAGAGATGACAGGTATTTAATTTTTTAACGTTTGGAATTTAAAGGAAAAGTCGGTCAGCAAGAATCATCAATGAACAATTATTAATACCTAAAACTAATACGATCGCAATGATTTAATGAATTTGGCGTTAATCAGTAATAATAATAATTTTCGTTGCGATCACTGAATCTGGGAGCGGCCATTTTTTTGCCCAAACATAGTAGCCCCTCCCTCCTGCCATCTTCCAGCAGTGACGTCACGGTGCGGTAAGCCTAGCGCCATTCTCCCCGCTTTCCAAGCTAAATCAATGGGAACTACTAG